ATATATACACAATTGTATTTTGCCTTCGTTAAAACAACGGGCGCGGTCTGTTTCATTCTGTTAATTTCTATGATATAACATTTCCCGCGCAATAACCCTCGTCAGATAATGGCTCTCAATGGTTTCTACGGGGCGGAAATAAAAGTCTTTCGCGTACCTGCTGTTGAAGCGCTTAAAATGAACGATAATGGGACATCATGTGTGAAGAATTTTCTTGCTTTCTTACGAGCATCTCGAAAAGGGTCCTTTTCGTGTCTGCTCTCACCGCGCGGGGTCCATAAACCGCACAATAGAGCCAATGACATGCATTCTCATAAACTCCGACGAGGCCGCGGGACGTCGCGGCTAGCTCTCTGCATGTTGTCAAAATGTATTCCGAGAAAGCTGATGAAAAGGATAGTGGCTGGAGAGGCCACAAAATGGAAGAAATGTCTGATCGATGTCTTACTTAATCAAACACCCCTGTCTTCTCATTTAATATCTATCATAAATGCGGAATTGTTCGGCGTGATCAGTTGCCGAATGATCAACACGATTATTGTTATCCTATTGTTATTATTATTAATATATGTTACGAAAGAGCATCTATTCTCAGCAATTATATAAAATCTTTGATCTCCAAATGTACAATTCTTCGTTCATGATTTTTAAGTGACAATTAATATAATTTAATCTTAAATTTAATGTTTTATGTATTTTAATAACTTTCGATTTTAATCATTTTGTGTACGTAACTTAATGTAATAATTCAAATTCTATTAAAACAAAACATACTTAAAATTAAATAAGAAGACATCAAGATGTATATTTGTACTCCTTCAGTGCAATTTACGAGATCTTTATTTTAAATCACTTAAAATTGGAAGACTGTAATGATCGATATGTTGACTTCTTTGTTAAAGAAAGATCGACCTTTTATAAATATTGACTTTCGTCAAACAATCTGTAGATTGAAAGTTTAACGGCACAGTTTGCACAAGTCAGTCCGTATATATTACAATAGCGTATAATGCCTACAATAGTCTACGTAATTTTTCTTGCAGCCTCAATTCTCCTTTTAGTGCAAAGACGCTTATATATAGCTTCCAAGATTATATGAAATAACACAGTTTCACATATCGCAAGTGAATCTACGATATCACGATAATTGTAGAAAATTAAACAACGCGATAATACTTACTAAAAATAACTTAGGACGTTTTCTGATATACGTTGTTCACGTCGAGACGCTTGTTGTCGCCTCGAAACAGCCATTCGAGACACTTATCGAAGTAATTAAGAAAAACGTCAAGCATTCGTCGCGATTACCCGTGGGCGTATGCGCGTATATACGCTTTGGAATGATGACAGAAAACGCGAGGTTGTTTAGGTGGTCTTCGTGCCCGCGGCACTCGTAATTTCTTGCGCTGTTCTTTTAAAACGAACCCCTCCTCTCTCCCGTCATTGCGCATCCAGCACGAAAAAGGTGCGCTCACATTGCCGACGACAAGAAGATCCCGGGCGAATAACGACCCGCTCGTTTCGCCGGTGCCTTTTATATGTATACAAACGACATCGCGTCGCTCCAGATCGACTTAACTGTCTCTCGCTTGCTTATGTATTTATTCGATCATATTTGAATAATTGGCCACCCGATAGGGCCACTGCTTAATAAGTGGTTTAGCTTGCCCCGCGTGATTTATGTCGATGGGGAAAAGAAAAGAAAGGGACGAATTTCGTCGAAGAATGGAATATTACACCAAGTGGTTTCTAATAACGCGAATGAAATAACAAACCGATATCTCGCATTATGTAAACATTGTAAACAATACTTTTACATAATCTCTTATTTTCAAAAGAGATTACTTTCACACTTAGATTATTTGTAGATGGACAATAAATCTGTATATTAGAATATTGTTTCTTTTTCAAAAATTAAGCGTTTAATTTTTAAGTGGTTAAATATGTTTTTGAAAGTGCGTTATTATTATATTATTTTACGTACAGTCGTGGACATATCGTTTGTACAACACTTTTTTCATAGGTTTTTAATATATATTTAATATATATATAAATAATATATAATTATATTTTATAGGTAACTAATATTTTGCAAATGCAAACCACGATGGATGTATTATATACTACGTATCTTTAACCTAGAGATAGTACACCAATCGTGGTTCGCATTTGCAAAATATTAGTGCGTTTCGAAACCTATTAAAGAAGAATATCGCAACTGATATGTTCACGACTGTACATATTCCAAATCTTAAATTTGAGTAATATAAACATGTTTTGCATTTCATTTGTTTTGAAATTTCCTAATTGTGTTTTATAGACAAAATCATGGAGCATTAAGTATGTGTATCAACCGTCATTATAAATAAAAAAAATATATATTTATAATAGAGAATATTATGATATATGTATGTAGTATATACTTATATAGATATAAGCCGCTTATTTTAAAGGTGATGTAGATCCAGTTTCAAAATCTTGGTAAGATAAACATGTCACCACAGTATGTATATACCTCATTACATACATCTCATTAAAATTCATGATATTACAAAATTCGACTTGTGTTGCTTCAAAAATAAGCTATGCGTATACGATTTTCTCATCTTTAGAATAAATTCATAAAAAATAAAATATAACAAAAAAAAACGTGTCTCATTGGTAAAGTAACTCGTTACGGCATAAATGGATCTCGACAGTATAGGTCTATAAATAGAAATAATGAAAAGGGTTGCTTTGTGATGCAAAAAAGACTTATTATTTGCCCCAACGAGCAGACTCGTTTAGTCGCCACAGTGCCATTCTGGTCTTTGTCGCATTAGGCTATTAGGAAGGGCAAACTGCCATTACCTTTATCAATACGGCATTATAGCGGCTAAGTCTTTTTGCGATGAGTCGGGAGCATGTATTCTCATCAACCGAGACAAGCAAATCACGTAACCCACCTGCTTGGGTAGACGTTAGAAGAGCCGCTACAACTTTCTTTCAAGCGCACAAGCTATCGCATCTTGAAATGCCATACTGTATTTTAAATATATGTGCATGAGACGTAATTTTTTGTTGTTTCTTTTTAGCCGAGTGCATATCTAATAATATATTTTAATAAACATTTACAAAAGAAGATATTAAAGATATGATTACTGAAAATTTTTACACCTCTTTAATTTATTTTACATTTCTGTTATCGGATAGTTTGATAATTACGATTCTTGTAGTTTTTACTTTGACTTTGACTTTTGCGATTTTAGTCTAAAATAAAATATCTCTTTTCTTTAAATTTTTTAAAAAATCTTTTCTCCATCTTTTTCATATGTGTTTTAAAATGTTCAAAAAAATGTTAAAAAAAAAAGAAAAAGAATATCGAAACATGTCTTTTCATCTATGCATTCCGTGACACATTTAGAACTTGATCGTCTTTCTTTCTTTTGAATCCTGCATTACTATACACTGCAAATCCAAGTGTGTATGTCTAAATTTTTACACATTTTATTTGTGTTTTACACAATTAAATGCATATTTTTTACACGCTTATACATATTATTGTAAAATTAAGCGTGTAAAAATATGCATTTAACTGTGTAAAACACAAATAAAATGTGTAAAAATATAACACGCGTATAAATGCGTAAAAAGTGACTACAGATTTACACACTTGGATTTAGAGTGTATCTGTACTCGTTCTAGCTTTATCACGTGTCTTGTAATAATTCGTAGCTTTTATTACCACTCAGGATCTTTCTACTGATACTCGTCTTTTTGATTTACACCCTCCCCCCCAAGGATAAATAATTATATTATATAATTTCCTTTTTTTTACGCAGGTTTATCGCGAGTATGACGCAAAGTTGAGATACGAATCGAGGAACGTAACCAGTATATCCGCTTGTGGCGCCTTATAAAAATGCACGCGTACCTTGGTGAGTGCATCAAGAGGGAATACCGAGATATACACACTCCCACCCCACCCCACCCCCTCCCTCGTCCACCCCGTTGTGTTTGTGTACATATCGACAACTCGCGGGAATACATGCTCCCTGAACACACTCAACGCAGGATACTCAACTCAGACCGCAAACAGTGGTGAGCGCCACGCTCCGCGTAGAATAAAACGACGCCCTCGTAACTCGCAAAAAATGCATGGAGCACGGCGCATAATGCGTTCGATCCAAAAAATCTCCAGGGCGAATGTTCCAATTACTTTCAGGTAGACCGGGATTTTCTGCGTTTTACATAATCGCAGCCGCCCTCCATATTGAACGACCGTATTTTTTCGACGTGAACGAAACGTCATTTCGTAAACCATGGATACACGGAGGTTCGTCCAGATTAAATCCTGTCTTTTCGCGCACGAAAATAGCTTCTTCTTTAACGAATAAATATACAGGCGGTACGCTTGGAAATCCTATTCGCGTCTTTCTCGGAATATTTTGCAGGGGGACGAGATTTCCCTACGTACCGTATAAACGAGATATCGCGCGACATTCACTGATGTTTATGAATAATTATTGTCGCATAATTAAAAGACTTTATTACGAATTACATAAAAACAGGATAAAATAAAGTATTTCAAATTATTTTATCTGAAATGGGGGCTACACAGAAATCTCTTAATCTCGTTAATGATTCTGATGAATAATGGATTGCGAAATAAATTCAGACGTATCCATTTACGTACCAATAGCATAGAACCAACTTTCGTGGAGTTTTAAACTTTTTTAAATTCAAGAAAATTCAATATAATCAATATTATATCTATCATGCAATTTTTCATCACCCTTCGAGTACGAGAAAACGTTTTGCAACGTAAGAAAATATTGAAATCTCTAAAAATTTGTTTTTTTTTTGCAACAACGAGAGAAAAGTAATATTGCCCATAGAAATAGGTATTGTTTCATCAAGTTCGCTCCAAAGATATGGTTTTGAAATCGGATTATTAACAGTCACGGAAATTTTTTTTTTAATCTCAGAACTTTCTTAGAACGTTACGCATGGATTAATTATTAATTATAACTTCTAATGACTTGCCGTTTCGATGTGGTACGTGCGTCGTCGCTACAAAGTTGCTCCACGCAGAATCGCGGCTGATTCCCTGCAAACAAGAAAAAGGTAAAATACAATAATTACAGCTGTAACCTGTATATGTATAATAAAATACGTCGCAACTTTTATGCAGTTATTACCTCGTCAGAAACTAATTCAACGAATATCTTTGTGCAATAATAATATAATGCGAGGTTAGACATCGCTGCCCGTACTTCTTCCATTATTTAGTTAATATTAATATTTATATTAGCATACATTGTGCCATTACAGCGTAATTTTTATGTTATATTAAAGTGTTTTCACGTTGCTGTTTACATTACATTATAATTATGACATTGAATAAGAGTCCACACATACACGCGCGCGTGCGCGCGCATACGCACACCTGTGCTGCACGCGTGTGCCACAATTTCCGGCGCAGCGTGCGTACACGCTTATTCGCCGATTTGTGCATTAAATATTCATGGAAATGTTAATATACATTTTATAATGCAACGTAACAGCTATCGAGAGGGGGTTCCGGTATTTTTGCTCTCAACAATTATACGGCGGACGCCTTATATGCCTACGTTACAAATCACTCGTTCGGCACCCATTGTCCGTCGACAAAATAGAATGCTTACCGGTCGGAGTGTGAAGTTGCCGCGTCAGTCGGCCATTACGAAGCCCAACCATCAGCGCGATCGAAGGTGTGTGGTGATCGTGGTGATCGAAGGTAGTTTGCGAAGTGGTCGGACGAGTGTTTATCATCGCGCGAAGGAGGTCCGCGCCGTCGCGCACGAAAGACGTTAGAAATATCACTGTCGCAATATCGAACGAGTTACGCGACATTACCCGGCAAATATCGAATAACTTACGCGACATTAAGCGCGCGACGTACGTACGTACGTACTTCCGTTACGTTGGTGACACGACCAGTCGAGAGACAGAGAGAGAGAGAGAGAGAGAGAGAGAGATGCGCCGGCTTACATGTCTCTATACTTGTACGTAGCGCTCGGAAGGAGAGGGGCTCGCGGGAGTAGAAAGACACTAAAGCGATCTCGCTTCCGGCTTCTCGGGGAGCTCGCTCCGCGAAGTGTATTTATCATCGTTGTAAATTTCGCCCTTCGTAAAACGGAAACACGATTCGCGCGCGCACCGTCACGGTCATCGGCGCGCGTAAATAAAAGAAGAAGAAAAAGCAAGCGCGCAGGTATCACGCGCGGAAGCCCGTTTCACTCACTCGCTCGCTCGCGCGCGCGCCGCGCCGCGCCGGGGCACACTTCGCGGACGTCCTCGGCCCGGCTCGGCGATCTTCGGCCGGGCTCGGGCAAGCGACCGGCGCGCGCCCCATGCCCCACTCGGCGCTCACGTCGCTCAGTGCTCGTCGTGCAGTCGTCGCGTCTTTATCCCTTCCACGGTCGGCCGAGCGAAAAGTCACCCTCGGCAGCTACCGGTCGCGCGTATACACACAACTGATCGCGCCTCCGACTCAAGTTTACTCCGCGCGCGATTCACGCGTGGCGACGCGAGGCGCGCGTGAAACCGGAGCGGGCTGCGATCAACGCGACAAATTTTGAATTTGAGACAGTACTCTCGCGTACGGATCCCCCGCGGAATCCGCGGCGGTGGTGAAAGTGGTCGCGCTGCAGTTTTTTTTCCCCCCCCCCGAACTCGTCGAGAAGTGTCGCGAGAACTGAACAAGTCCGAATCGGCGCGAAAACAATGTTCTCGGCCCGAGTGATCTAGGGATTCAGGAGGTGCCCAGTCGTTGCGCTATACGAATTCGCAACAAGTTGCAGAGGAGTGTGCTTCTTACTGATTTGTTCGCCTCCATTTCTCCGTTTACGCGTGTGTGTGCGTGGTTTCGTGTGTGCTTCGTGATCGAGAGGATTAATATGGTGATGGCCCTGTGAGAATTGAATCAGAGAAGGGGTCATTCTCGACGATGGTAATCGAACCTTCGAATGTGGAACGGACTGTGGTGACGGGCGATCGCATTCGAAGGGAATGTCGTGTGCTGTGATTGTTATCTCCAAGGATCTTCTGCACGGTAAGATCGCGCGGTTATTTCTTTCATCTCTTTTTTTTTCCTCTCTCATTTTCGCTAATTATACGTGCGTAAAACAATGATCGCAAGATATGATCGATGGGAAACGTTCGCGAGGGACTGACGAGGGATTTGCGAGTGAACGCTGTCAATAGATACTCGATCAAATGATCAATATTGTGGTTAATGCTTCTCGCACAAATAAGGGCTTATTTAGTAAATGTTGATCATCAGTTGGCCAGGCTATTTAACCGAATTTGTAATCGTACAAGAATATATATTCCAAATAGCAATTTATTTGTGAATATGTATTTCGGAGTAACATGAAATTTGCACTTCCTAGAGAATCATTGGCATCTTAATTCTATCGAAATTATATTTTTTGAAAGTAACTTTTTGTTACTGGCTTCTGCCAATTTCGTTTAGTATTTTATTGAATATTTTGTGGAATTTAACTATAAATTAAGAGTGATTATTTGGGATATTTAATGATACTTTTAGAGTAAAAATTATGACGAATTAAACTTCAATTTCTTGTTATAAAATATGTACACATTATATGTATATATATTTGTCGAAATATTTCAATATATTTAAAATATATTATTATAATATCGATAATTACGAATGTTTTATATTTAAATATATGTGTGCATGTTTAAATGCATACACACATACATATTTTATCTGTGAAATATATGCATACATTAAATTTGATAACAAGAAAATTAAATTCCATTAATTTTTATTCATTTTTTAATAAAAAACTTACCTTTAAAATATTCGGAATTAATTTATCTTTATACAGATATATTTCATTCATCTCGCGTCTAAAATATTATAGTAACATCTTATTATTTCGATTTCGGCTGTGTACGAGCTTAGAGTTACTTTACAAACAACAACGGTACGCTGGAATTCAGTGAACACTCACAAAGTAAATGTTTTTGACGTAAAAGGTTGTAAAAATGCCATAAACATATTCTCTTCTGACTAGCTTACTTCGAGAATGCTCTTTCGCGTATTTTTATACACATAAGATTCAGCATGGCTATTTGAATATTTCTTAACAATACCGCGGTAACATAACGCAAAGCATGCGTTTCTCGTACGCGCGTCGTATGCATGCTTTTCTTCCATTATTTCATCATTAAAATTCTCCGTTTTCATGCGTGATTCTGGGCTTATTTGATTTTCATATACGCATTTAAAAAGCGACGATGCAACACGCCGTAATTTTTAATTGCGATGGTCCAAATTAAAAATTGTGCGGCATTTTTCGCGGTGTGCCACATTCGGCTTTGTTACGCTCATTAACACTACTCTTCACTTTGCAACCTTTTTCTTTAATTTCCGTGACAGTCGCGACGAGCCAATTTAAAAATTTTTAATTGTAACGAACAACAATGAGCTCCATTGGCCGTATAGTTCACGCGCCGATCAGGATGATGAATAATAAAACTATTCAAAAATATGTTTCGGCAAATGCGTGTATTGACAAATGAATATATAATACAGTATACAGCATATATTCCGATGGAATGTTCGATTAATCGACGACATGAGATCGGCGTAGATATGCAAATATAAAATAACATTATTAGATACAATTGAATTCATTCAGCGCGACATTGTTATGTTGAAATAATGAGATGTTATTTACTATCTTAAAGCGCACCATATTGCTCTGAATATGTGAATACGGAATATTGGAAATATTGTGTTACGGTGTACGAAAATATCGAGTCATATTTCCTGCTTTGCCGTGTGTAGCGTATAGTTCTCTACCGCTAAAATATTTATGAGTGGCAATAAAATTGTATTACAATATTCACATCATTATATGCGTGTACGAAGTGAAACCGTAAATATCGCGTGCGCGCCTCGAGACTTTCCGTATGTACAATATATTGTTTCAAATTAATTTTAATCGTGTCACATTGTTTCTTGACGCTCGCCGCCACTCGTTTCCATGTATCATAAATCATGTGCGATTTTGAGAATAAATATGCATCTCGTCCATCACGGCGGCGTCGCATGCAAGCATCCGCCGCCGCGCCGCAGCGACTTCTCGCAGCGTGTGTATTCGCACTTTGCTGCACGAATTTTAATCTTTGTAAAATTTACATGTTAAATCTGGCGCGCGTTCGTACACGGATCTTTCTTCGAAAAAAAAAAAGAACGGTTCCTTTCGGGAGCGAAAGGATGGTAGTTCACATGCACGACGTAACGATCAATCGCGATAATGCCGGGAACAGTTTTCACAAACGTATTACACGGGACTTAAATTGGGTGCTTGTCACTCGTTGACTGGTAATTTTCTCGAAAAAAGGCGCACGTTGCGCCAGTCACGAAAACAATTTATGCCTTTGTGATCGGAAAGATGAAAGAATTTCCTATAAAAAGCCGGCGCGTCACGTTAGAAATTATACCTGTTGGGGATACGAAGATCCTTGAATGAAACCGCCGATCCGTCCCCTTTTTTGTCGTATTATTTTTAAATCTAATTCGTTTCCCGATATATCAATCGGCCCGCCTTGATATTTAATACGATTTGCCTGAATATCATTGAATAGAAATCAAATGCGCGTTTTTCACTATTTATATATATATATTTTTTTTTTCGAGGATTTAAAAAGTAGATTTAATTTCATTTTACCTCCCGCTTGACAGATTCGATTTTAATACTTTTAATAAAAATGCTACTTGTAATGTATTCAATTAACTTTTTATTTTTTATGCTATAAAATATAGGTCTGTTTTGTTTATTTGATAAATTAATTAATATACAAATACTTGTACATTTATTATTGCATATTAGCTTAAACTTCTAGTATTGCTATTGCTCGTATAAAATCGACAATGTTTTGATTGAACATTTTATTAAAGAAGTGTCATTTTATTAAAATAGCAAATGGTCTATCTGTGTTCATCACTGATTCAATTAAACGGAATGAATAAAATTTGATTAAATTAAATATAAATTTATTCTGCATATTGGATTATGGATAAAATGAAGCGAATACTTTCGCTCTTATTTGTAGAAGCCAGGCTTCGAAAAGTATAAATGTGACATTGAGGGATTTACTTATATTTTAAATTTGCATTTATTGATACGAAGTTTTAAAAAACGTAAAAAGATATGAATGTTTAAAAAGCATAAATTATAATTCTTTATATGTATATTGACCAGAAAGTTAATATTTGTATTTTGGTAACAATTAGATTTACCGTATATATTTTATAAACAAAACCGTCGACTTTATAGTAAAAGTGAAGATTATTTACACGAAATGTAGAATATATTTGTATGTGTGTTTCGTGTTTTTAGTTTTGAAAAGAATATATTTTTGTTTATTTTTATGTATGAAATATCACGTATTTTTGTTTATCTGGAAACATCATTTTTATTAATTTGATTCACCGGTTTACATTTGTACATTTCATGTAGCATGTATCTTGGAAAACTCGCGCAGTTGGCATTTCATATTTAATATTGCACTGGATTAATGCATCTGCATTAAATCTCAATCGATTTAATAAGAATAACTAATGAGAAAAAGGCAAGTATAGTTTGATCTGACGTAGGACGAGAATCGTAATGACAACGTTGCGTACGAGATATATCGCATATGCAGCTAAACGGAACTCTCGCGCGGTCACTAAATTCACCTATTGTCCGGTACGTTTATAAGCGTGTAGAGATCACATAGGAGAGAAGATGGTTACGGCTTGACCCTCGATCCTTCGGGCGGATGACCACCGAATAATTCTACTGGTAGGTGCGTCGATGCATTTACATGGAAATCTCTGATGACTGGGGTAGGCGATTACATTCCTGACATTATGCTGTTTCATCGTGGGATTTCGGTCGCGATCTGTCCTAAGGATCCCTGGGCATTTTGCATTGTGATGTGTGTCTAATTCACGCTATGGATTTCGGCGAACCGATTGTACCATTAGTTATCAAATCATTTTCCCGTCGAGAAAATATAATCTGCATTATTACTTCTGATGCAACGTCGTATTAGGCGAATTTAATCATTGGATTTTTTGATGTAAAATTGAGAATTTAATTAAAATATAAAGCGAGATATATTCAGGGTTGGGAAGTAACGCGTTATGTCTTGTAACGTCGTTACCGTTATAAAAATTACTTTTTTCAGTAACGAATGGGTAAGCGATGTTAGTTACATTTCCATATTTGTAACGTTCATGGTAACGCAGTTGCATTTTTTGGGTAACGGTAACGAATATAATCGTTACTTTTACCGTTACTTTGTTCACGCCCAATACGTACATGCATATGTACGGACCGTGCATAAACGAGTTTTAAAAGAAGGGATTGTTACGTTTGACAATATTGCGATTAAGTCACTATAGATCTCGTGTTGAACTAGTTAATTAACGATTGGATGGCATTTTCAAAAAAGATTATCAAAATTCAGTGGACAAGTAACGGAAATTGTAACGATTTGTTAACTTTTGTGTAACGGTGAAAGTTAAACTTTTTTAAATCAGCAACGAGTTACTTTTCAGAAAAAAGAACAGTAACGTTTGGTAACGAGTTTACTTTTAATTTCTATGAAGTAACTTTCCCAATCCTGGATATGTTATACATATCTCGAAAAAACTGATTGAACTAAATATAAACAGAGGGAAGTGTAGCTTGAAGCATTTCATATGTAACGTAATAGTGGAGTATTGCTCTATTATTATGACACGAAATATTTCTACTTGTGGAAGAGGTATTATTACAAGTTCTATATTTTTGTTTGACTATCAAACCATTGTATGAGTATCATTTCCGAATTGATTTTTCTGTTCATATAAAAATATCTTGAACTTTTTAGCGAGATATTGTTCCAATTTGGTTAGAATGTTTTGTTTTCTAGTACAAAGTTTCCTAATATAAAGCCTAATATAAAGTATCAAATAAACTAAATTATCTGCTTTATATAGAAGAGAATAAAAAGAATTTTTTTTCAAGGATTTTGGTTTCAATAAATTATCATATCAATCTATTTGCTTTGTTTGTATAAATACATTTATATGAATAGATTCATATGAATTCTTATATATCTACATTTATTTTATCTAAGTTACATTAAATTAAAAAAAAAACTGATGAACTGTTGTATATGTTTAGGAGATTGAAACCTCACATAATACTAAAATGGAATTTCATTTTGGGTCACCGTCTCTTTGACTAGTGAAATTGTTCGAATATTGCGGAATTAGTGCACAAATTTTCAGATAGTGGTTTAACTCCCGAATGGAACTGTCCGAACACTTCTTTTATATAGACATAGACTATGCACGGTGTGGATTAATGAATCGTAATTTACCGAGTCCCTCGCGATATCTGCGCATGGAACGTGATTGAACCGTTAATTAGTCTTGAATTAAACGGCCCGATACTGCCCGCTTGCAATTTTACAATTTTACATTGCAATTTCTCGGGCAGTGCACATCCTTCGATGCGCGCTCCTCCCGCTCGCTCGCTCGCTCGTTTGTTTACTCATCCATCGTGAAAATTGCTGCTATTTTTTGCTTCGTTAGATATTCGAGCGAATGAAGAGGGGAGAAATTAATTATTTATGTTTCTCACCCACGAGAAGTACTTAAAGGCAGTTCTCTATCACAATACCGAGCGGTATCGAATTAAGTCATTTAATTCAAAGTATTTGTAATTTCCCCCTGCTAATTGTATCGTGGAATTTTAAATAGCATTGGGTGTTTATAATTATTATAAAACATTACTTCTGGTTTTGCGGCGGGATTGTATTTCAAGTAGACAATCTGACAATGTTGCATTTGAAAAATATTGCAACTAGATAATACTCTATATTACTTATATTTATTACTTTTCAATCTGATTTTTCAATTTTTGATTAATGTTGCAAAAAATATAAGAATTCATTAATTCGCTATTTGTTAGAATTTGTTAGAATTTTCAGTATTTGTAGTTCTTTCATATTTGTTAACTGGCTAACTTGACGTACCTACAACAACTGTAAAAGTATTCATTAATCCGCTATTTGTTAGAATTTGTTAGCATTTTCAGTATTTGTAATTCTTTCATGTTTGCTAACTTGACCTACAACAACTGTAAAAGTACAGTTACGATTTCGACAAGTAGGTACATTTGCAAAATGCGACAATTTCAAAACAGTCTTGCGTTTAGTGCGCGACTTTACATTTTTAAAGTGTTTGTAATTTCCCAAGTAACCATACTGATGATAGTAGACCATGCCGTTGGAAATGCGTCCCCCGATAATTTACTTCAATCGGTATTGAAAAACTTTCACTACTTCGGTAAGATAGGTCCTTTATGAATACCGTTGAGATTTGCAAGTTTTAATGCGTTAGGATGCTTTCTTCAGGCGCTCTTCGTAACATCTTCGTAACCAGAAATAGTATACGACAGAAAAGTCTTTATTCAAATTAACTTTTTTTTTCTTCCTATGAAAATGGATTTTGTCATTTCCCAAGAAACTTCTTTTGTTACATTTTCTCTTCTGAGGAAAGCAAAACGATGAAAGCTGTATAGGTACGTTTTACGCTGCAGATACATTACTTTCTTTTCTGAAGCGCAACGTGTCGATCAGCGTTCTTATATATCAAAGTTAATGGAATCGTACGACGCGATATATCACGATATGAACGCACGAGTCTCGATATAACAAGGGTGGTAAGAGCGGCGGCGGGCGGCTACGGCAAGTATCCGGAAATAAACTTGTTGCACGACCGATCGGTAAATAAAATAATAACTGGGGCACGTAACTCGATTAAACGACAATCGCGATATTTAAGCACCGGTGCGCTGTGTCATTCTGCCGTGTAACAATCGACGAGACCTGTCGCGCGCGCGTCAAAAACTCGGACAAGAAGCACGCTGCCTATCACCGCGGCGGTGGATACGAGCGTGCGCTAGGGCTGTGCATATTTTTTTTCTCCCGGATTTTTGTCGGTCGAATTATCCGCGACGGAAGCAATTGCATCACCGGATGAAATATTTTTCACCTCTCACCTTTCCCTCTCTCTCTCTCTCTCTCTCTCTCTCTCTCTCTCTTTCTCTCTCTCTCTTTCTCTCTCTCTTTCATTTCTGTGGGAACGGATGCAAAAAAATATTTCGTGAAAATGGTGGAAGAGACAACTCTTTCTCCGGATGTACAGGTATTTTTTTCGAAAAAAAAAAAGAAAGGGGGTGAAAGAAACAGCAGCGTGATTACGCTGAATGTACACTGTCAGCTATCGAGAGAGTTTGAGCGGCAGGAGCAACTGCCATTGGAATTGCGTGCGTTTCGCCGCTACAGGTGAGAAAGGAAAATCAGCAGAATAGAATTCGAGAGGGCGAGCTTGTACGTAAGGGCGTTACGCGAAATGGGTAACGTGAGCTCGCACGTTACATTTGCAAGAGTCGCAATTTTCCGAAATCGCGGCGTCAAGCTTTACGCTGCTCGCGAGCAAATTCTAAATTAGAAAGTAAACGACGTTTCGCCGTTGATAAATTTAGGTATCCCGTTAACTGCTTACCAAACAGTTAATGTCGACACCGAAAGTGGGATATTTATATTTTGCGAAGTCAAGAAAAATTTAATTTTTACAAAGGTTGATTCTTTACTTGGTTCCATGCGTATGGAACGAATTTAAAAGTAAATATCCATTTTTTTCTTTAAATTTTAAAATTTTATTTGATTCATGCTGAACTAAACTACTTAGTACATCTCAGGGTCAATTTAATATCAGTTTGAAGTACTTAGAACCAGGTTGCACGGTCTGGATTATCCAAAGTCTGGATTACCCTCAATTAGCGATCTGTAGTTTCCCCACACTTCTCTCAGCTCAACATAAATAGAGAAGCAGAATATTATAGAACAGATTATTTTACTAACGTTTTCAAACGAATTTCAAAGGAAATATTGTTTGATTTATTTTCTATATTCGCCCCATATTTATCTTATATTCATATTATATATGAATATAAGATAAATTTGCCATTCAAAAACTATTGAATCCGTAACACTTTTGCAGTGCTTTTTTACTTGGCATTCTCCGTCACAATTTTCTCTACAAAAGGGTGGACACGTATAGTACGGTCCCTAAAGTAAAAAATAAAGAAAGGAGAGAAAGTTGTGAGCACGGTTCTCTCGTGATTTATTGATGGTTTCAATGTATTGATGATTGTGTTTGAAGGTGACGAGGAAAAATCCGCGGACGAATGAGAAGAATTTGTGGAGGAAAAGTTCGACGATGAGAGTTTGAGTCGCGGAAAGTGCTTCCAAGAGTGCCTGGTCCTGGCTCGCGCTTTTCGTCGACGGCGAGGGAGCGGAAGACGACGACGGGTGTTGTAAAAAGGAGAAGAAGAGTGGGGCAAGTGTGTCGCTGACACGAGTTGACGCGACGCGACGTGACGTGACGTGACGTGACGTGACGTCGGGGCGTCGAGATGCTTCGAGATGAGATGGCCACCCCCCTTGGATCCCTCGCGTCTCTTCTCACGCTTCTACTCTATGCTTGCGGTAGCTGCCATGCCAGGATAACCAATCAGGAAATCGGTGAGTGCTAGTTTAAATAATCTATAGCCGTTTGAGCATGGAACGCGAAGAACGTTTAATGGTTGTTAAAGTTGAATAAACATTTCATATTTTGCAAAAAGGCCGGGATATTATGCGTTGGAGTAAGAGAGAGGATTAAAATTAAACAATTAAAATTAAATCTTAAAACAGAATGTAATTGAACGTGTAAAGAAATTTGTATACATTCAATGTGTACAAATGTAATACAATTAAATCTTTCAGTTAGCAATTCGTGATATGTCTATTTTCTAGAAAGTAAAGTGTTACAACAGATGTAAACAACAGATTCATTTTATATTAATGTGTATTATACCAGAATAGTTAACAGCAACAATAGTAGAAACGAATGAGCTTAATTGACATTGCGATGTCGATGCACTTCGTCGCAATTGCTAAATAAAACTGATAACTCCGCTAAAACAGAGTCATGCTAAACTGTTTACTGCTGATATATCTCATTTCGAATAATTGTCTTGATTATTCCAACACTATCATGACCAATAAACGTCCAACAAGTTCTTTGAACTCGACAATTCTTGAGGAAAACGGGGAACTTATGACTTTCCGTTAATATTACCGATGTGGTACGAAGGAGTTAACGTGCGGAGCGTAACCGCGGCAGAAAACAGTTTTCAGTAAAAGCTCGGCGTACGCAGTTTGGAAAACAGACGAATATCGCACGCTCGCGGAGCACACTTTTTTTCCAATATGTAGCGGTAATATAAATATGATCGGTTGTTACATCATATCGGTGCAGGTAGACACGAGATTGGATTTGTGGTACGACTACATGCACTTCCGAAGAGTTAAATAACGGAGAATACAGTTTATATTTCATGCATGTTTTTATTGATTGGTACTTTATGCGAGATCTATACGAATGTTATAGCATTTGCGAACGCTATACAATCGCAATTATATAATTCTGATGTGGTAATATTAGTATATTTATAAAAAAAACTTGTAAGATACACGGGGGGCAAATCAATAACCCCGCGTGCACAGTCTTCAAAATAAAATTACGTAAAAAGTAAATCGGTATTGTATCGTTTACGTAACTTATATCACGAGATAGAATTTCGAGATGCAAGTTTACTAAACATCGTGCTTTAAAGGAGTAAATATCGATCGTTGAATACGTGATCGTTTTAACACAATTGAGTCTCGCTGTGTATCGTGCGCATTGAGTAAATCTATCAGTCTTGTTAATAGATAGTACTGATGGAGAATTATTACTCCGCTAGTTGTTACGCGCAGTTCGAAAACAGTATTATGGAACTTAATCTGTCTATCGTTTCCGACACTTATACCACTACTCTCTTGATAGTATTAAGCTAATTCGCAATTTTATAAATGATCCATAAATGATTAGCCACAATTTTCCTTTTGCATTTTTAACGATGAATAATTAAAAAATATAAATATGTATGTATATTTAATTAGGTATACCGAAATATACATACAAACAAAGCAATTTATGTTGCGTTTCATAATAGCATAGTTTAAAAATTTTTTTTAAATATACTCGACTTTATTTAGTCGTGCGGCAAAAAATATGAATAAAAGTTCTTGATTGTAATTTTGATTTTGCGTGAATTACTTTTTTTTACTGTTGTTGCGAGGACTACTACGAGAATCTTCGATAAAAATTTTCGAATAGTGAATATTTTTAAACGTAAGCATTGAAACATCTAAATCTCACTTAGAAATTTGACTTTATCTTAAAATAATAGAGTTGTATAGGATGCACAATCTTATATCACTGTTTGTCTTAAATAGATTACCACGTACGACTGTGGAAATTGAGATGAAATGAAACTTAGAAATGTACTTAAGGGAGGGTCGAGAGAGTTGGGGGATAATTAAAAAATATCTACATACATATTTCATAATTCTTACTTTCTTTACATGGATGAGTAAGAAGGCACGTGCCTGGGCTCTTTGCGAGTCGGACATTATTCCAATTTTCGCGAGGCAACGTCGCTTTGTGTACACGCGGACAAAGCGACGTATACTTTTGTTGGTAACGTGGCAATTGAATCACCCGGTGACAAAAGCCACTGGGTATTCCGGCCGCGTAATTTCGTCCCTCGGGCGTGAAAATGAGGGGTTTTTAACCCATTTTACACACCGCGGCTTTAACGAGATCGCCATGTCGCCGTTATTTCGTGGACCATCAAGGCCGGGCGCCACGCTGCATGCGAAAAGAAAATGCGCGTCGGACTCTGCTGTAACTCCCCTCCTACAGTGAAATTACATTGTCACTCCTCGAGACACAGCTCCGTATTTCTTGCTAATAAATCACTGTTGAAATTGAGATTATTATAAATGGACTGATTAGGTTTATTATCACTAGATTGTACTTTTGATATAATCGAGAAAAAATTAAGTATTCATAATTTATTTCGTGATTTCTTTCTTCAAAGTTGACATAAGCAAATATGAAATATGCATTTCACAAAATCAAATGTCTTAGGATTTGTAATAGTTTAATAATTCTTAATTCTTCATTTAAAATAATTTCCAATTCTTCATTATAACATTTTACAAATTTAAATTGAAGTATATTGTTATATGAAAAAGAGGGATTTCAGTATTGCTACATATAATTATACAGTTTATTTTAATTCAATATTTTAGTTTTTTATTTTTAGTACTTTCCAACAGTAATAAAATTGCCAATTTTACGAATTGCTGTCCTAATAGTTGAATCGCTCCAAATCATTACAAGTTAATTTCTCAGGCGACTTTGCGTTTAAAGCTCAACGTGATTGCAACGTCAGCAAACGACTTGGACGCAGTCAGATTCGTTTCGCGTTTAAATATTTACCGTCCGATCGGGAATCTCTATCAGAGAGAGACCCGTAGCCCCTCTCACAACAACAACAACAACAAAAACAGCAACAAAATAACCGAAGCGAAATCGGAGTGTAGTCAAGTAATTTTACTCGTACTTGGCCCTACTATTAAACGACGTCGAGTGTGTGTTATTTAATGTTGAACGCGAAACGGAAGTAATTACGGCTACTCAAAGCGTAAAGTAAGAGGACGTCGTGAGGGTTTGCAAAGCTCCAACAGTTAATTAAAGCCATTTGATTCCAAACATTTCGATAATTGATTAAAATTGCGAATAACAGAGCAAATTGTGGCTGGCAAATGTGACTTGGCTCTGTCGCGGTAAAACTTTGACATTGCGGTAAGCGTTAACATTGAATTTGCCTTTTTTTGAAGAAATAATAAAATGAAGAGCGTAAAAGTCAAGTTTTTTTTATAGATGATAAAAAAATATGACTTTTGTGCAAATTTTTATAAATCTAAAATTAGACATTTGAATAACTTTATACATTTACTATTAATATTGAAAGAACATCGAAATTGAAAATTTTTGATCTTTAGGTTGCTTTAATTTCAATATCTTTGCAAGGGCTCGCAAAGTATTATACTATAGCTCTCGTCGCGACTCTGAAATGAATTTATTCATACGTTTCTAAAACTGCACGAAGTCTTTTCGTATTTCATCAAAGTTTCTTCTTTTGTTACGCACACGTATTACCTCACGTTTAGAGAATTCTGAGTCGCAAATTACTTGACTGCCGAATACGTTGACAGCAAAGCGGCATCGTTTCTGATAGTAATTTTTTAATTGCGGAACAAAAGAGGAAAGTTTATGCACTTATATAAAGCAGGTTAGAATAGAAATAGAAAAGAGTTGAGGGAATTTTGAAATCATCATAAAACTTCGAAAATGAATGTGTTCAATCTAAATGTTCTAAATATATCAAACTAAATTCTGAAATATTGATTGTATTTAATTGTGACCTTGCATGGTGTAGTGCGTTACCCGTAACTTGTAAATATTTTTTAACTTTCCTCAAAACATTTTTATGTATATTTATGAGTTTAAAAATATTTTAACGTGCATAAAATTTAGATAAATTATTATAAGATTAATAATGTTTTACATATAAAATTGTAATAATCTTAATTATTATCGTTCCAAACTTTAAAATATTAAAACATTTTAACTTTAATTACAATGTTTATTCATTAAACAAATTTTTTAATTTTGGAAGTAGCATGTTTATGTCCAACATGTTTATGTTTTAAAATTTTTAAAAATTTCAATCAATTAGTACAATATTTTCGGATATTTTTTTGTTTCAAATATTGATATTAGTAACTGACAACTTGAAAAAAAGATATAAACACAAGAAACTTGAAAAATTGACTCCCATGTCATCTCGATAAGGACATTGTTATTTGCCAATCTGACTTTTTGTCACGATCTCGCCGCCTGAAGGTTGAATTTGTCGACATTCAGTGCTTGCGCAGTTTTTCCGCATTTTCCTCGTGAAACGCGCGTCAAGATGCATTAGACGTCGCTACGTCGGATTCTTCGGGAAAGTTTTCGAGCGAGGCGTTTCCGTGGGGAATGCGAGGACGCGTCAACCAAATGAGATACGTCGTCCCCGCGTTTTTCTTTTTAAATTGAGGCAGCTGAGTTAATTTGTATACCAGCATCACGGTACTTTTAATACATATTTCATGAACCGGAAGAGCAGACCAGTAGTAGTACGAACGGATTATTTCGAATAGGATTTAAGCAAAGGATTCCCGATGAGAGATAAATGAATAGGTGGAAAATGGAACATAAAGAAACTCTAAGGTTTTTAGAAATTTCAAGCTCCAAACTTTTTGAAGCGAATTTTAAAGCGAATGGACGTTTTCAAAGATTTAGAATTTCAAATTTGCAGTACTACAAACAAAGTCGGTAAGCTTAGAAGTCTAAAATAGAAGGACTATGTAAACTGAGAATAGCAAATTAAATTTGAATATTTATAAAGCTCTTTTTTCTGGATACTTATAGAAAATAAATTTTTTAAGATTTTACTTATATGCATTTTATATTATATGTTTTTAAAAATTGCAATAATTTAATAACGAATAATGAACTGAAATAATAAAGTTCTAAAATTCTG